AATTGACAGTTCACTCGGAGGGTTCTGTGAAATTTTTGTACTTATTCAAAAATATCCAACGAAAAGTTCAAAGAGATATTTTGATGTAAGTTTCCTTTGAATAAAAATAATAAATAATGAGAGATTTTAAAATGTTGCAAGGGATAAATGCATGTTTTGGTTTCAGTTCTCGATGTTGCATTCTATACCTAGATGGGAAAAATGCGTATCAAAATTACCACGTTCCAAAATCTCCAATTATGTTTTTTTTCCCCCTTCAAGGAGAACTAATCAAAATGTTTCCTTTCAATTTGGCGTGATTTTTTATTTTTAGAATTCGCGAGGAAAATTCACGGAAAATGTAAAAAAAGCGTTTGATTAGTCTGTTCTCAAAAGCATAAAATAAGAACAAAAATTTACAACGTCGCAATCTAAGACACACATAAGAAATTATTTAAAACCTCTTTTTAAATCTAAAAAAAAATGTATATAAATAAAACAAATTTTCCTTCTTAATGAATTTTTTTTGGTAACAAATAAATTTTCTTTGATTAAAATGATTTTCCGTAAATAAAAATAAATAAATGAATGTTACTATGCCGTCGACGACAAGTTTATTTTCCTCGAATCAAGAAAAACTTCATTTAAATGAAGGGAAACTCCTTCGACTTAAAATTAAATTCATTCAGTAGAAAACGTCTTCAAACCAAATAAAATTTTTTGAATTTTTTAAAGGAAAGTTTTTTGACGATTTTTTAGTGCACGATTTTTCGATTTGAGCCATCAATTTACGCAGGACACCTATTACGTGTCCGTTAAAAGTTCTGGGATTCTTTTTAGATTTTTTCAAAAGTTCCGAAAAAATTCAGGAAAATCTCAGAAGTTCTAAAATTCGGAACTAGTTTCTGGCAATAGGAGCATTGAACTGACGGATTGCTTCCTAAAAAAGCTGGTGTTTCCTCGATGATAAAGCAACGGTAATGACTTGACAATGAAAGAGTAATCTGTGGCGAAGCGTGGCCGGTACCTGTGTTGATTTGGATAACTCATCGAGGGCTTAGCGCTGGCCGACCTAAGAGTAATTATATTTCGAATTTCAAGCGGAGTCACCATCCGAACACAGCCATTTATCTCGAGTCCACTAGAGTCACTCATCAACAGGGCAGTTTCGGGCTAAAAGGGTGCATGAATCATTTTCCGGCATCGGGCTACTGCGTTGCCGGAACGCTCGGAAAATCGCTTCAGGACTCTGCTCCTATTGTTGATGCATGATCCAATTTACTTTATCAGCCCAGCCATCTAGCCTTTGGGTCGGAGCTGAAATGGACGCATTTATGCTAAACGGAACCGTGTGCATTATGACGTGAGCCCTGTTATGCACGTTTTCTTATGGGTCTCAGGGCTCATGTCTAAAGCTACATAGTTCCGTTGGGCAGAAATACATCCAAATGATCCAAGTTCCCCGGGAAAATCAAGTGTCGGGAACGGAGAGGTTCCAGATAGAGTACCAATGGATCGTATTCGATAGCGGTTCGATGTATCGTTTGGTTTCAAAACTATAGAACATAACCTCAAACAAAAATTTTTGGATTTCAGTTGGAAAAGCTGGAAATGAGAAAATTTCTGACAATTTCACTTTTCATTGCCATTTGGTTTTCAAATGTATAAAAAGTCTATCTCAAAAGACTCGTTCCCTCAGATTTTTAAATTGACTTTTGAGGCTGTGTTCACATGTTGAACCAATCGATATCGATACAAACTCACCTGTTTGATGTATCAAATACCATCCATGGAAAATGCAAACATGTCGGTAATTTTGAGGCAGCCAATCTATGAATTTAAATTATCTAGGGTGATTTATGATTACAATTGTTACGATCTTCGAATCTTATAAAGTCTCTTGTTTTGGTATTCTCTCCGAAAAAAAATGGCACTGGATGCTCATTTGGTAATCCGGACTTTGCTTTTATTAGATCATCCGTACTGCATGGGGTCGAGTAATAATAATTTCGCTGAGAACGAGTTTTGATAAGATTGCACTGTACGCGTTTTGAGGAGAGATTAGATTCATTTTTTAAAAATCATAGTCACGTGAATATTATTTTTACAATGAAAATGTATAATTGGACCGAGTTGATAAGAAAGGAACCGACCCACATTACTTAAAATAGAGCTGAGAAAATGAGGTTTGAAGTTTTATTCCTCCAGAAGACTCAATGTAAAAAATAAAATTTAACCGCTGTATTCACAAACTATTTTTTTTTCGACTTAGAGTCTTTGGCAGGGGGAAATATACGATAAGTGGAACTTAAAAACATTCTTAACTCAATTTCTTTGAAAGTGTGGGCTGGCTCCTCACTGATAAAATCGGTCCAATTGGTGTGGACTGAATTAATTATTTGAATCGATTTTTATACTTTATGCTTTGATAAATATATTCCGCGGTGCATAATTGTATTTTTCAGTCAAGTCCTGAGTAAATGTTACTTTTTTCGCTAATAACGGGTGCATAGGTATAATAAACTTACGTTAAACCACCTCGAGCTCGACTTTCAATGAGTCCTTCAGCATAGTGCGACTCATTCATAACGTAAAACTTTGCATCAACTACACGGTTGGAAAGAGTCCAACGGAACTGGCGAACGCGGCGCCTGACCATTAACTTTCGGTTGCTTCTGTGTCGCACCACTCTCCAACAACGCTTTGCCATCTAATCCGAGTAAAAACAACTTGTTGCGGACCAGTCTATTTGCTACTCATGCTCCTCGCATAAACTTTCTGCCGTTGAATTAGACTGCAAACACTCGCTAGTTTCCAGTTCATATGCCGGAACAGCGACGCGTTCCCAGCGAATTTAGTCCTCGGTGCAAATGGAGATACAGGTGGCTAGCTTTCATCGACTTGTTGACTTTAGACCTGCCATCCGTTGGTTCGCGCCATCAAATAGATGAATCTCGCGATTCACACGTGGACGTGTTTCTATCAAACGGAACTGTGCGCATTATGTGACGTGAGCCCTGTAATATATTCTCGGTCTCAGGGCTCATGTCTTAATGCACATAGTTCCGTTTGACAGAAATACGTCCATGTAAAACTACTCTACCGTGCTAAGGAAAAACGCCGTATGAACCTTCAAGCGTTGCTAAACCTTTGATAAAACACGCTATTCCTGGTAAACTTATGAATATTTTTCTTCAAATTCTTCAGGTATCTTTCTTCGCAATTTCACCTGAGGTTCCTGAAAATTTCGAGGAAAAATATTTATAAGTTGCCTCAGAAATAAACATTGTGTCGAGGGAAATTTGGCATCTCTCAAATGTTCATACGGCGTTTTCCCTTGCCACGGTACCACTGCCATGCTAAGGAAGAACGCAGTATGAGAATTCAGATGTTGCCCAATATCCTCTCAGTAACTGTTCATCATAGAATATTTTACCTTGAAATTTTCAGACGCTATGGATCAAATTCCTTACAAAATTATCTGAGGAATTGGAAGGAATATTTCTATAAATTTTCCCCGGAAATTGATAATTTTTCATAGAATAATTGGCAACGCTTGAAGCCTCATACGGCGTTCTTCCCTAGCACGGCAGACTACTGTGGCCGCGTTTCACCCCATCAATTGGACGACATTGTCCAATGTTCATGCCGCCTACAAAGCCAATTAATTACATTTGGACGTATTTCAGTCAAACGGGACTATGTGCATTAAGACATGAGCCCCGAGGTCCATAAGAATATATGCATAACAGGGCTCACGTCATAATGCACGTAGTTCCGTTTGGCAGATATACGTCCATTTAGCGACTGAGCGCTCAACTTAAACGTGGAGTGCCATCGTATTTTCAGATCAAACAGGTGATTCTGAAAACAAAGGGCATGTTCGTGGTGAAGTTAACATCGACCCTGGAGCACGGACTCAGATCTAGCTCATGCTCCGATGAGAACAAAGTGGTTCTAGTTCTCGTCATAGTTTGTAATTTTAAAACAAAGTCGCGAAGGTTCAATTGATGAATAAACTCAGCTCAGTGATGTTAACTTACTTTTAAGAGCCACATAAGCATGGAGGTAGTCCGATGAAAAAGAGAGGAAACAAATGTAAAGAAAAATAGAGAATTTTGCCACTAAAACAACATGAATATTCATCATGAACGATTGAACGTGTTGATGTTAATATTCCATTTTTGGCATGAATAATAGTTAAAAATAGAGACATATAACTGAAACTTGATGATAAGCGCACCTCTGTTGATGAGATTTAAAAATCAATGCACGTTTAATAATTTAATCTCGATCGGTGAAACTAAAATATGATGTTATATATCATGATTAACTCAGAAATAATATGATGCCTGTGAAGAAGAAATTCGCACCGGAAAAAAAAAGTGAAGTTGATTTAACATTTTGGATGTACAAGAAGTGTGCGAGAACTTATAAAATGCTGAATTACCCGCCACAGAAGTTAGTTTTACATCTTGACATATTGCTAAAGTAACTGCTGTAGCGGGTAATTCATCATTTTGTATTGCTAAAGTAACTGCTGTAGCGGGTAATTCAGCATTTTGTATTGCTAAAGTAACTGCTGTAGCGGGTAATTCAGCATTTTGTATTGCTAAAGTAACTGCTGTAGCGGGTAATTCAGCATTTTTTAAGTTCTCGCACACTTTTTTTTTACATCTAGAACGTTAAATCAACTTCACTTTTTTTTCAGTGTGGTGTATTGGATCGCGTTGATTATTGTGAGGATAACAAAAACACGCGCAAATCATCGAGAGAAATTAAGTTGAGACTAAACAAATATTAGATTGACTTTTTTCGAACCAATAACAAGACGCGTTTTCTCTTAAGAAACCTTTACATCTTGCATAGAAATGGACGAAAGGTGTTAAATCTGAGAGTGAGGCAAATTATTTGCTGTGCGTTACTTTTACACATGGGGGTCATGTATATTTTAATATTTTCACAATAATTTTAAAAACTTACGACTATAAAAAATAATAAAATGAAAGTAATTAACTTACCAAGGTGACACTCCTCGCCTATTTTTTGTAAATTGAAACAGGATTCCTTATTATGGTACGCAGTCTTACACCAAGAGCAACTAAGAGCCACGATTTCTTTCGAACTGAACGACAGTTTGGATTGAAACGACTGGAACAGACCGTAATGCACTCGGTTAAGCATGTAGGGAAAATCAGAAAATTGACATATTTGTGCTAAAAGGAACTATTTTGCACGCAATCTTATGCACATAGTTCCTTTTATCATAAATACGTCCAAATGTGAAACACACAAATTTAGTGAAAGAAGACTCATATTAATAAATACTAGTTAAGCTGATGCGAATCGGAATCTGGCGTGGTCGAACTGGTGTGCGATACATCGCAACGATCAAGCCAAAAATCTCGGCAGATCTTGAATTTTTAGCCAAAAAAGGACAAAGGCTCCTGCGTATGAGTCTAAAGAATCACTCAAGACCAAAAACGAGGCAAAATACTGAAAACCTTGGTAAAAATTGGCAGTAGAATCGGTGTTCCAAAATACCATAAACCTACAGCCGACTGTAAGATTTCCAATAGCTTCTATAGCCGGCAACACAATTTCTTATAGCCTTTTATAGCCTATGGCGATCAAGCAACAGCCTGACGGTAAAGTGTATGCTAAACGTTACTAATTACGGATGCTAGGACTTAGTGAGTTTTCGGACTACCGCTCTCTTTTTGGGCCGTAGTATCTTGATTTATTTTGCGAGGAAAGCTCCGTACTTTTGAAGGATGCCTGCCATTCCTAATATGTTGGAGCGCCTTCAATTTCGTATGATACTGTGCAATACCTCTGGTGTGAAATAGTTGCTTCATGCGCCGTGGTACGCTGCGGCGCGGCGGGCAGCTAGCGCGAAACACGCATTGGCGCCTACAAACCTAACAGGGATACTTCACGCATTGCGCAATGCGTGAAGTATCCCGGTTGGGTTTGTAGGCGCCAGTGCGCCGCCGCTCCGCTTTGTGTTAGGTTCTAATATTTAATCTCGTTGAGTCAGCGTTGTTCAACTCATGACTTTGAAATGTTTTCACACTCTGTAGGGACTATTCTCATTTTAATTGATAAAAACAAATTTGTAGTAAAGGAATAGATAATGTGCGTTTTGTAAAAAATATGGTGATTCCGTACAAACTTAAGGATTTACAAAGCACAGGAATTTCTACACAATTTCTTATAGCCTATTACAGCCGATGGCGAAAAAGCAACAGCCAGGCGATAAAGTGTACAGCCCGTCGACAGGAACTGTAGCCCGGCTGTTTAATTTTTTATCGCTTCGTGTAGCCCGGCCGCATGATTTTTTCCACTTTCTACAGCCAGCTGTATGATTTTCTATCGCCTTCTTCAGTCGGCTGTATGAACTCCTATGGTATTTTGAAACGCAGCTCCTATCGCCAATTTTTACCAGGGAGATGAAAGCAAGATTCTCTTTGGAAAAAACCTCGCATATTCTATACAATAATCGTCCTCTAGGGTATGCAAGAGTAAAATATACGTGGTGATTCTATGATGTATCACTGTGGTCAGATCATTTCTTACTATTATTTCTTTCTTGATTATTGATTATCTTGGAATGTCATAAACTCATTACCAAATGCAAATGCATTTTGGAAAAAAAAAAAAAAAAATATATCAACTACAGAAGTTTGCTGAGCTGATGAAAAGTGCTTGCATGTGAATTAAACGTTTTTTATCCATCTATGTTGAAAGTTTGCCGGTTCTTACCAAACTTTTTATTTGACAAATTATATGGATCGGGTGATATGGAAAACCCAATGATTCTTAAGCGTTGCTTTATGAACACTTATACGTTCAATATCACCGGAACCTAAAAATCTCGGATAAATCGGATCAAAATTTCGGTGTGACGTACAACAAAAATTTCAACCGAAGTGAAAAAGAGGTTTTATTATAAGGATCGAACAAATCAAACTGACCAAGCAATTATTTCAGTCGTCATTGAACATCGAACATACGACCGACATAATCAAACTTTTCATTCTCATAATTCATACTTAGAAGGGTTGCCGCAAGATAGTGCATCCATTGCCGTCAATAGTATGTGCGAACATGGAGATATGAAACTCTTAGGTTCTAGAATTAATGGTTTTCTCAACGCGTTTTATTAAAAGCGATATTTCACTAGAAATTAATAATACGCTCGTGACTTTTGGATAAAGTTATGCTCGTCGAAATAATTATGTTAGTTCATTCATTCATTAAGACGGCACGTTTCGGCGAGTGTTCGGTATGGCACATTATTCCAACTTTGGAGTTTGGACCGAGTTCAAAAGAGTGATGAATATTTAATAGCTCAGCTTTTTGCTCAGGGTTCAAAGGAGGTGAGGAAGGGTTGAAAAAATTGCGTCCAGTAATTTCATTACCCATGACTTTATTTCTCGCGCATAATGTGATATATGTCCAGCCTTTGCTGCATTTTTCTGTAGTCTGTTTTACAAAAGCACGGCTATAGGAGGTTATGTGTTCCCTGAGTTTATCTCACATCGATGGTGAAACTACGAGACCACGTATCTTCTTTGCGGTGTTTAAAATCTCCGCTCACATTTTATTTTTTCGAAAGACATCAAATTAATATTATTCCTTGAAATTTTCACACAGTTTTTGCCTCTACACGAAGTGGAAATATCGCAGACGTTTTCAAGAACTGACGTTGAGTATCTTCCATTTAAAAAATTGAGTAAGACAGGAAATCTGCAACGTTGGAAACCGAGATACGTGGTCTGGTAGATTCGCCATTAATATATTTTTTTCTCTTGGTTTACTGGCTTATATTCTGAGTAAATATTAGTGATCTGTGATGAATTGCAGTTTTCCAGACGAAAAAAACGGAACCTCATTTCAAGGTTGCAAAACTGACCCAATCAAGGTCATTTTTGAGAGAATTATATAATTAGGCAATTTCTGTTCAAAGTTTGGTCTATTTTTGCGAGTAACAAGAAGGAAAATCAAGGAACTTTTTAGTTAAAAACGCCCAATAGTTTCCTGATAAAAAAAAATAAAATTACGAGTGGAAATTTTGTCCGAAGAACGACAAAATAAGACGCAATAACGGGAAATGGAAATATCAAAAATAAACCAAGAAAACTAAAATAATGAAACGGAGGAACGTACTTACTAAAACAGTTACAAGTTTATTAATATTATCTTGAAATTTCATTGATGCGTAGCTTCATCACTTTTTAGACTAGGAAATCGGGACGATTTGGGATTTTGCAAAATAAGTCGTCTTTGGAAATCGGAGAAAACGCAAAAATACAAGAAAGAAGACTGTCTTTTAAAACGATAAAGATTGGAGAAAAATTGGAGATATTCGATGATCGCAGGGATTGAGCAGAGTGATTTTTCCATGAAATACTGTAACCATTATGAACCCTTAAAGGAAGCTCTCGGCTGTCTTTTTTCTTAAGCTACGGAAAAACTCGTGCAGTCAGCGGCATCACTTCAAGTTATCCAAGGAGGATAAATATGGAGAGGGAAATTTTTAAAGAGGTTCAAGTATGCTCACGAGTTCGGAGAAACACGAAACCCCGGGAAGAGGTAGGCTATAAAATATAAGGGTCTGCTTGCAAAAAGAGCGGGGTAAAAATTACTGTCATTTGAGGATGGGGCGGAGGGGGGCTTGCGTTCTCGAAAACATGATACAAGGCATCCGCGTTTTAATGTCACTCAACAAATTTGCGTCTAAAATATGGAGCACTGTGGTCTTATTTTTAATGCTTCAGCTGCCGCCTAACCCTAACCCCATCCATCTCGAAGAAATGGCTGAAAGGTTCCATCCTTTTTATTATGCGTCGAAAGGGTTTTACAGCCGCCGTGGGTATAACCCGTTTGGCGCCTTCCGCACCGTGCAGCGAATGCTCAACTTATTGAAAAATTACTCCTGAAAGCATGGAGTAATTTCATGAGTCATTAAATGTTTCGTCACCTCGCTCGAGGCACAAGGAAGAAAACATATTCGTGCGGCAGATGCCGATGATAAAGACTGGTGCACGGTAAAAGCGCTGAGGAATGCGCCATGTATTGTGGAGATTTTTGCGTTTGAAGACTGATAGATTTTTTTTTGTAAAGAAACCTTGCCGTACAAGGCATAGTAATTAAGGGTATGGTCAGCAGTCACTCCCACTTGCCGCGTAAACTAGGGCTAAAAATCTTAAATGGAACCCCCCCCCCC